CAGTCAGACATCAGATACTTTAATGGTGCTTTTTGAAACACTTGTGAATACAGTGCCTCTGTCATTGTTGGTTTGTCTTTGTTTATTTCACACAGTTCAGTTGTTGTCTTCAGCTCATCCTCACCCTCGGCTTAAATGCTGGACGCAGCATCGATGCTCACAAACTGAAATGATACGATCTGTGTTTAGTCTTCTTAGTGTTTTACTGTCATTGAGATGTGTGTTTGCGTTGTTTGCAGCCTGTCTAATAAAGCAAAGGTGAATATTTTACACTGAGCACTTAAAACAGCATTGCACGGAAGTTTAAGTTCGCAAATGTTGGTTAAATATTTGCAACAATTGGGCTCATTGTTCTTGTCGGTGCCGTTAATTGTTGACAGCTTTTGTTTGAGGACTGTGGACGTAGCTGCATCTACAGACTGAACAACATCTGCTCTCAATTTCAAGTAACACTCCACCTCCAGCTAACGTGATTTAACCGAGTTACTGCTTGATTGAAACTTTATTTTGGATAATGTCCACGTGAATAGTGCAAAACAGAGCGAAAACTTGGGAAGAAAGGAAGTAATGTTGGAGGATAGAGCAAAGAATAAAAAGCATTACACCACTTTTAAATGGCATTTGCACCCCTGTGGTATATGCTGTAACCACTGTTTGTTTCTTCGGCTTGGCATCCTAAAATTGGCGCCAAACAAATGCAGTTTGTTGCACTTGTTAACCACAATATGATGATTAAATCTCCTATTATTAAAAAAAAACAATAAGCAACTATAAATATCACACTTAACGTCCAATTCAACCGTTGTTCCTGATATTTAGTACATCCTTTTTTTAATTCTCATCATGGCGCCAGCTCAACAGGATTTTTGCTGCACCTGCAAAACACATCACACAAACTCCGACAGAGTGACTGAAGGAAACTCGCTAAACTGAAATAGTGAAAACAAATCGAGTCACCCTCACTCGTGGCTTATATTGATTTTGATTAAAGTCATGTTGTGTGATCCTTTGATACAACGGCTGACAGCTCAACTAAAGTTTAATCTGTCATATAAATCCTACTTAATCTCCCGTCTCACAACTGCTATATTAAGTATATTAACTGCTGTAACCGCCCTGCTAGGTTTGTTGATATCGACCACATTGCATAAATGATTTTAATCTGCTGCATTTCGTACAGATTTTGCAGCTGTGCACAGGGAATGGAAAAGTCCAGAGTCATTTTCTATTGCAGAAGTGAGGCATAATTATATCACTGCAATCCTTCAGGTAATCTTTGAGACCCTGTTGGCATACATCCACTTTGTATTGTGCAAACACTGGGGTAATTGTATCATAGCTTCCATCATCTGTTACTGAAATATTGTGATAAATGAGCCTTGTATTAGCACATCGATCGAAGAAGAATTAATTAACCGTGGCAATGACAGCCATTGCTAGTGTGTGTGTGTGTGTGTGTGTGTGTGTGTGTGTGTGTGTGTGTGTGTGTGGCTGATCAAGACCATATGTTAGTGGTTTCTGTCTTATTTAAGCTTAAATTGTTTAAATGGCATACAGACTAAGTAGGACGACTTGTGTACGTGTGTTTGTCTTTTTATAACATTTATTTCTGTCTTTGTCTATACTGGTATGTCAAGTACGTGTTTTCCCGCTGTGTTCATGCGACAGCAGGGTGGGAGGCTGAGAGGCGTTAGCTTGGTGAGAAGGATTACCTATATCTGTTAGGCCTCCTTTTCTTTCCCCTGGGCAGTGTCACGTCTCATTACTTCTGTCCTCCAGCCTGGATAGACTGGCTTTAGCGGGATACATTTAAAATGTGGGCAGGCTGGGTGTCCAAGAATACCAGGTTAAGAGGCAGAGTGATATGCGCGCCCTTTGCCTGAGAGGCTTTTTTCAGTAAGCAGACAGGTAAACTTCTCTCAAAGCTGGCATTGATGGCAGCTAAGCCTTGGGCTGTTTAAGTGAAACGGAGGCCTGCATCTCAGAGAGAGACATGCTTAACGTGTGGTTACAATCGGCTGTGATCGCCTCATAAAGACAGATTGTTGATGTTTCTTGCAAAGAACTAAAAACTGAATGCAAGTCAAGTTAATGAAGGTAGAAATCCATAAAAGTAGTGGTCAACCTGTGTGGGTTTTTCTACTGACCGATGCTGATGTTTGGAGAGCAGGATGGTTGACGAGGTATCTGTCTTCAGTGTCATTTTCTATGTAAACAAAAGAAGTAAAAATAACCAAAAAAAAACAATGAATAAATAATTTTAAAAAATAAATAAAGCTGTAATGCACTTCACAGCAGCATTCATAACCAGCTAGCAGCACCTCTTACCCCTGATCTGATAAACGTACTGACGTCCGATGACCGTACCATGAAAAATGATCAATCAGCAATAGTAGCTGTTAGGCCACAGTAGCTCATACAGACCGACCCAACGTAGCCCATTTCACTGCTCATCGTTAGATGCCTAATTAATCAGCAGACCAATTAACTGGTATATCACTAGATGAGAGCATAACAGCACCGTTAGAGCTGGAACAATCAGTCATTTTTTAAGTATAACTGCCAAACATCCTCCGGTTCAGCTCATCAACTGTGAGAATATGCTGCTTTTCTTTGTTTTATAGCATTGTAAAGGTGTTTTCACTGGGTTTGGGGGCTCTCAGTTAAAGAAAACAAGATTAATTGGCAGAATAAGCAATAATGAAAGAAGATGAAGCCTTTATCTTTAAACTTGATACTGCAACAGCTTCTTACATGGGACTGTTTGTGGTTTAAGTCTGTTTTCTGTTGATATAAAGAATGACATCTGATCAACTTGGAACTAAGGAAATTGTGATTTGGGGCATTTTAACAGTTTTCTGGAATATACCGATTTATCAAAAGGGAGTAAATTAATCATCAAATAATGTGTTGGATCCAGTCCTAATTTTTTGCCAATCTGCTGTAATACCAGACCTCAATAAAAGTCAAACAATGTCCACAATAAAACTCAGTCTGTATGGATGGATGTGCCTTACCTTAAACTCTTCTCTACATCCATTGACCTATTTGTTTCGCTTGGTGTTACAAAAATGCTGCAACTCTCATACAGCTCTAGTAACTGTGATGTGTTTCTAATAACAGTTAAACAATTTGTTCAGCGTATGTAAAGATCCTTTCAAACCATTTCTTTAAACCAGTTGACTTAATCACTTGTAAATCCTTCCAGTCAAGTGGCTCATGAGAAGAAATTGCTGATGTTAAGCTGACTGACATAAACATCTTCTGTGGTGTTTTTCTCTTCAAACTGCTGTTAAACATGCTACAGTGAACACTTCATTTGTGCCCGCATTTCATTTTGTGAATTCCTTTCATGGGTATGGGTCATCAGTCCTTCTGTTCTCACCCATTCACTGACCCATACTCAAAGGCCTGTATGTATACAAGGCATGTTTGTTGACCCCTTGCTCTCTGTTGCCCTCACTGTTACCCTCCCCACCCTTGGAGCACCCCCCTCCACCGCCCACGCCTGCTCATCTTGCCCTCCAGCTGGTTCGCTCTACTGTCCAGAAGCCGTGAAGCTCTCCTGGCCTTAGGAGGATGGCTAATCTAGATGGCGGGAGGCCTCCCTCCTGCTAGCGTACACAAGAGAGGGCAACCCTAATTGCTTATGTCATAAAGCTCTCTGACCCAGATAAGCCGTCACTCCCCAAAGCTGTTGAGATAAACCCCACTTTACCTCACCAAACCTGCCTCTCCTGATCCACTACCCCCCTCCTAACATTTCTGCACCTTCTGCCACATTATTAACACCCTGCGCAGGGGGAGAAGAAAACGAACGCCATGGGTGGACGAAGCCTCTTTGTATAAAAAAAGTCATAAAAATAAAAAAATTCATACCAACCACCACCTAGTAAAAAAATATTTGTCGTTTTAAGGAGAGAAAGGACAACAGCAACCTTTTTTTTTTAAAAATGCATGAGCGCTCTTCCTCAGATCAACGATTGATAGGGACTTGCTATGAAGTGTGAGTAATAGCAGATTGCCGTAGAGGAAGTTGTCACAACACAGGACTTGATGAGGTAGATGACGATCAGGTGTGCCCAATGAAAGCTGATCTGAAGCCAAAGCTTGGAGTTGCGTGCCTCTAGCTCTCGTGTGCCTGGCTCATTATTGAGCCTGGTAATGCAGGCTTAGCCACAAAATGCCACAGTGCCTCGGATAGTTGTCAAGTGCCGAATGTCACACGTGCTCCACTTTGCCGACAGATGGCCGGCTCACCGACCAACACTCAGGCAAAGGCAAAGCCACAGAAACAGATATTAAACTGAAGTTTTATTTTCCACTTTCTAAAAATACAGATATAATCTCATACTGAAATACTTCATAGGATATAATGAAAACATTGCTTCTTAGACGTCTCACTCGGTTTCTCATGGGGTGTAGAGGTTTTGGTTGTCATTACAAAAGTAGTTTTATCAGACAGAAGCCTTGCGGAGGTTTCTGTAAAGTCCACCTGAATACAGATCTTAATTACTAGCTAGGAGCTTTTAATTGGATGCTGGCCCAGCTCACCTTGTAATCAGCCATCACATTGGTGCAGGGATGCCTTTAAACTCCCACCTTAAGCCATGTTACACCACAAGTTAACATGAACTGTGTCAAGTGCTTGATGAACCATATCACCACACAACACACACACACACAACCAATCTGTGCTCACACTCAACTTAAGCTCAAAAAAAGCAAAATCTGCTGTTTTGTCTTTGTTTCTGAGCGATTAAATGCTGCAGTTCTTACCTTCTCCTGCCCTTAGCTTGTTTACCTCCTATTTAAGTGATACTTCTAGATACGCTGTAGACATTACTTGTCATTACAAATCCCTCTGGTGTAGTTAATTGATTGGATTTGTGCATTTGAAAGTGCTCAAAGAGCTTCCCGACGACCAGGGTTGTTGTTTAGTAGCTGGAAGAACCTCGCATATTAGTTCAAACTAGAATGAATCACAGATGTGGGTCAAATAAAAGTCGTCCACGAGGTTTATTAGAAATTCCATCAAGACAAATCAGGCATTATATTCTGTGAACACAAAAGGAAAAATAAATACCAAAAAAAACAAAACAATGCATTTTCAAACGATGATAAAACATGAGAAATGAAGCACTGCATCACACAACCACGTTAGGTCAAAACATATCCCACTCCAGAAAACAAAATCAGGATCAAAATGTTTGATAGTGGTTCAAAAACCAAAATGTTTCATAGCTAACACATGTTCGTGCTACAATTTTCTTGCTTGGGGTCGTTAAAAAAAAAAATCCAGTTAAAACATTTTCACAATAAATATATCATAAACACGACGAGTGAGGAAAAGTATTTAAATCTCTCCAAAATCAATAATTACATGGCGATAACACTTAAAAGTAACCAAACGACATATTTTGTTGAGGCATACACTGCAGCGTGTATGCACGTTGACTAAAAAGACAGGAGCAGAGTGGTAGTCGAGGTTTAATACTGTATGTATGTACCATAGAGTTACAGAATAAAGTCTAAGGTCAAACGTAGCTATTTGTTTACTAGTGGTGTTAAAGAGAAGCATTTCCACAGCAATCCATTTGGTATGCGTTCTGTGTGTGCTTCACGCTTTGATTATGCAGTATATGTATCTCTCTACCCACTAACCGTGCTACATCACCGCCTGTAGCTGCCTTGTCCCCACCACACGCTCCACCTGCGTCCCATCCTTTAGTGTTATAATACAGTAGTTTTACACAGTGTTGGCAAAAAAAAGCTAGTGTCGTACGTCATCTCTGTACACAGTGCTTTGCTGAATTCATGAGGAGAATGTTTTCAGTCTGACAATTTGCAGCAACAACAACAAGCGCCCACGGAGCACCGAGAACTTCTGAAATGCGCCGACCGCAGTGGCGCAGAGTAAATTCACATCCGTCTGACCATCAACAAACACTGGGGTTGTGTAATCTCTGTTTTCTGCTGCTCTCACTACAGGTTTAAATATATATCCTGCAACTGTGCAGCAAACGATCAAGCGACTGCTGCCATCTGGTGGTCAGAACATGTCACTGACACCCTGAAATATAGAAGGACGGAAGTTTTTAGTCAGACTGGAAAAAGACCAGTTTGTGAAAATCATGGTGTGTAGATATCCTTGTCATCCGACTCAGCTATCGTTTCATCTCCGTTTGTCATCATCATAATCACTATTATCATCAATATGTCTGTAAATCACTTAACCTGTGTGCTCTGAAGAGATAATCCAAAAACCAAAGGGGATAAATTTACCCCTGTTGGTTTCATGATGCCCCTCCGTTGTGTCACCCAATCAGAGGGTTCGTAGTTCTCCATCCACGTAGATGCAGAACAACACAGTCAAACAAATGATGTCATTTTAAACCACATCTACATAAAGCATCTGTTTTTGGGAGACCTGCTGTATAAAACGAGAAGCGCAGGTTTTCATCACCAAACCCGCATCATCATATGTGATGTAGGTTCCTGAATGATTTAACAAACACCTGCTGCTTGTGTCGCTCTGCAGGCTGGATAGATCATTTACCAGTCAGCTGCTCCACGTTAAACAGCTTAAATATGTACTCGGGTTCATTCAGATGCTGGTGTGGTTCTTACGTTTTCATTCCTGCACTGCTGGCTCACGACTTACAAGCTACAATACAAGTTTGTTTCACTTGTCCCTGCAGGGGATAGCCTGCCATCTGCTGTCAAACACCTACATCCCCTTGTAGCAAAGCAAAAGGAACACTTCTATTTGTCAGAGCACTTCTTTCCTTTTTTCCTTTTAATAATACAAATCTGTTACCTTTGAATTTACTTTCATGATTTTTTGATCAGCTGTCATGATGTATAAAACCTTTTTGTTTCCTTGATATGTCGAGACTCTCACATCTTTGTGTCTTTTTCAGCATCTGGGCGAGTTTAAAGTTATTTTAAGATCGGCCAGAATACCTCACTTGCTTTGATATCAACTTGAATCAAATGCCGTCTAGATTCTGAATGTGCATTTGACTCAAAACACAGCACACTCATGACTTCCCGGCCGCTTTTCCCCTCTTGAATGATCATTTCTCCGTTTGAGTCCCCACTAGCATGACGCGCTCAGAGAATATTTCCCTGCTGCTCATTTTCACAGGGAATTGAAATACACCCAAGAGTTGGATTAGCTTAAACTCCTACTGTGCCATCATCACAAGAAATCACAGAAAAACTAGGACATTTATGTGCTGACTTTGAAAGTTGGGAAAGGAGAGCTTGACTGGAAGCCAAATTGGGTTACAGTGAAAAAAACGTTCACCATTCCAGCTCAACACTGAAGGCTGACACCGACAGGATACGGCCTCCGTCCCGTCCTCAGCAGCGTCGGGTGGAGGATGGGTATTTGGTTTTCAGGCCCTCTTTGAAGCTGCGAAACAGAACCCGGTTGTGTTTGTTCTCCTCGTCTTTCTTAGCGTGGAACTCCCCCTGGATCTTGAAGCCCCGGTGCACCAAGAAGGCAGTGCTCAGCACAGAGAACCTGTATCCGGCCACATGGAGCTCACAGGCCTGGAGGGAGTCAGAACAACAGGGTGAGAAGGCAGGCATGAAAGTGGGATGTGATGAGAATGAACGGGGAGGCGGTGAGGGGAGAGAATGACAGAAAAGGCAGCTCGTGCAGCGGACAGACGAGGTGAGAATAAAGGTGACAGAGGAGAACGGAGGAGATGAAATGTTGTAGGAAGTGGGGCATGAGAGGGGAGCCGTGAGGAATAGGAAGAGGTGTCAGGAGGAGGCCGTGTGGAGCCATGAAACTGACCTCTGAGTGGGGATGTGGTCACAGAGGGGAATGGTGAAGTGGAAGCAGTGAAGGGGAGAAGAGGCGACAACTGAAGGCAGCTAATGTGGACTCAATGGTTTTGCTTAGTTGATCAACAGAGGAAAAAAAACTGTGTTGGTCAATTAAAGGGGCATTTCACTGATTTAGTATAAAGTCTGGGAAGCTGGTGGTTGAGCCTGATTGCTCATCATCAGTAATGCTTCGGCTTTTTTTTTGCTAGTTTTGCAACTTGTCATCTGTAGTTTAACAGGGACACCTTGGAAATTGATTCACTGATTTATCAAAATACAGTAAAAACTTTAGATTTATTTTTTTTCGACAGTGTAATTAGACTTTCCCTACTTAATAAATGCCCACGTCGTTCTGCCCTTCCTTGATTTCTCTCACAAACTATGAAGGTGATATATGATAACCCTGATGATACAAACAGGACATGATGCAACAGTATTTACAGGACAAATAGGACTCTTTGTGACTGTGGATGAACAATTAATCACTTTCAAATCGAAACTGCAGTTTGAAACCATGGAATTAACAAATCACAAAGGCTGCAATTCAGGTAATACGTGACTCAGGGCTTAAACTTTATACAAATTCATGCAGTCCTCCTTGTGTGAGAGTCACGGTTTTGATGGTATCATGCAATAATTTATCACGTTTTACACAGTGAACATTGACCTTCAGCTTCACTTTAAGAAAAATCAGTCTATTTAGACTAAGGACAGATTATGGTGGACATTTTTCACTACTTTCCAACACTCTATAGACCAAACAGTCAATTAATCCACAGATTATTTGTCAGATTAATCAGAATTAGGAGCTGCAGTCCTGGATGAGAGAGAAGATTTTTTTTTAAAGCCTTCATGTCAGTGAGAGCTGCACCGGAAAGTAAACAGTGAATGAACTTGAGACTTCTGTCAGTCCGCATCAGTAAACACGATGTGCTGCATCCGGACAGTGCTGCCTTATGTTCTCCCAAAAACAGGAAAATGTACTTAAACCGACTCACCTCAGAGTCAGACGAAGGGATTTAAAGGATGACGTGGGTGATATTTTATATTTCTCTTATCTTGTAATTGTTGTTTTGTGGGATTTGATGACAGTCTAATGTCAGCCTTTCACCAAAAAACTCAAACTAAAGGCAGCTCTGAAATAGCTTAAATGCTCCTCTGATTCCCACCTGATAGATAATTCTCCAGGACTGAGTCACAATGGAGATTTGGGACTTAATGGGTTTGCATTTCAGGCTTCAGCTTGCATAAACTTGATGCTGGCATTGTGTTCACATCCTTCCTTTGTATGTCTTCATCCTCCTAAAGTCTAGTGATCAGTTGTGGTTTCTATAGAGCTCTTTAACCTCGTTATAGTACAGCCAGACCAATGTCAAGAATAAACTTTTGCAATCAAATGTTCAAATTTGACCAACCTGGCTGATGCGATTGAAGCCGTATTGCTTGAAGTTCTCATCGTAGAGGGGCACAGTGCGAGGCCCGATGTAGAAGGGCTCCCAGGGGTCCACCCAGGTGAGCGTGTAGGCAACTTCCAGGTTGGCCGGCCCTCTCACGTGGCTGTTGACCCACTGTGAGTAGTTGGTGGGGGCTTGACAGCGAGGGCACAGCTCTTCGTAAAAAGGCCGGACTTCACCAACCTGGTAGAGCTGAACCAACTCTGTCTTGGTGGCGGGCATCTTCCTGGCGTGGCGGATCTCAAAGGCCGGCAGGACAAACACCTCGTCGCTTGCTGGCTCACGCCTCAGGATCATGGTCTGGAACTGCTGGTGCAGGTCAGCGCTTGGCATCATGTCGATGTCAATGACCAGGATGAAGGAGGACTCGGTGCCACCTCGGGCAATGTTACGGAGGAGGTTGTTGGGGTAGGAGATGTTTCCACTGATGGCATAGTTCTTGTATTTATCCCTGTGGGTCTCCAGCCTGGAGAACACAGAGGCACAGTCCTCGAGCCCTGCAAAGTGCTCTCTGTCCTGATCAGGGAAACTGGCCGTCTCTCCTGACAGACACACCAAGTGGAAGTCCACCAGGGCTTGGATCTGAGGGCAGAAGAAGCTGAGTGCATAAACCAGAGCTGTGGCAAACTTAACATCTTGGCCATGTGCGAATATGGCCACAGACAGAGGGTTCTGCCACCTTGCCAGGAGAGACTCCAGGTGATGCAGGTTGTTGATAGTCGTGTGTGTGGCCAGAGCCAGGATGGTGGAGCTGGGGTCGGAGCCGGGCTTCTGATTTGTGGTGAAATCACTTTTGATCAAGTTCTTGTACACCCGGTACTGACCACTGTTGTCGAAGATGCCCCCAGTAGACAGAGAGTACCTCAGGCGCTCCTTCCGCGAGTTCTTCTCTGGGTGCGCATTTTTCTTGGCCCCGGAGCCTCCAAAGAGCTCAGAGTACCGGTACCGCTGCTGCTTACCGTGGAACTTGGACAGGAAGGACAGGTATATGAGCTGCAGGAGCGCCACTATCAGCAGAGCACTCAGCACCACTTTGAAGGCGGAACATTTCTTGGAGAGATGCATTCCAGAGAAGCTCCAACTGGCCGATCTGTACACAAAGCAGGTCCGATCACCGGCGCTGGCTGCCGCTTCCTTGAGGGCTGCTATTTCTGTCCAGGACTCCCAGCTAACGTTGCCTACATTGCTACCACCATGCTAACACTACAGCCTACCTGGCTGGAAATGCGACCAACACTTGATAGCATGTTTTGCTGGTTAGTGGCTGCTCCAACCCAGATTTCCATACGACTCACGACAGCACGAAAAAAGGCGACGAAACGGATCCAGCTTCTGTGATCTCCATCAAAACACACCACAGTTGTTACCAGTCTGCACTGCTGCTGCTGCTGCTGCTGCTGCGACAGCGGCGCATGTAGATGTGTAATAACCGTAATGTCGGGAGGAAACGCGCCACTGAATTTGGCCCTGGAGCCCTGCTAGCTGCTAACCGTTAGCTGAGCTAGTGCTAATGACCGTGATTGGCATGGCAGGCCCTTGGTCCAGCATCGTCAGTGTACATAAAAGCAAATAAACATGCAAAAGAAACGTATATGAGATCTGTTTCTATAAAAATCGACCTGTATTACGTAGGGACTCAATCAGACGAGGTGGCCGAGTGGTTAAGGCGATGGACTGCTAATCCATTGTGCTCTGCACGCGTGGGTTCGAATCCCATCCTCGTCGTCAGATGCTTTTCCATTTTGTTAATCCTACAACACGCCTGTATTCCTTTGGATCTTTTGTGGCTGTTCACTGGTTTGATTTTGTTTGTTAATCTTCGTGGGTGAATACAGCGAACAAACAAGAAATCATCATGCAAATTGTTTTCTGACTAAAGTTAAAATTTGAAAAATTAATTTCTACTGTTACTATTAACAAGGTATAAATTTAGCCAGTTGTGCATGAAAAGTCTTTGAGGTGTTCAACAAGTGACAAATTCTTGACCACAGAGTTAATCAACCACTTGTCATGTCTTCAAAGGTTAGTACACACTGTGAACACTGACTATAAAAGCCCCATTAAAATGGGGGTCTGTTCAGATGTCCGTGAAGATTCTCAGTCCTCCAGGTCGTGGTTATTCTCGTAGGTTAATCGTAGCAACTGGACTGCTTGAGTTACTTGAAAACATTTCACCTCTCATCCAAGAGGCTTCATCAGTTCTGACTGACTGGTTGGAAGTTCCCGATACTTATATCCTAAAGGGTTTATTCAGATGTTATGGCCGTAGCCGGGCACCTGGATGTCCACAACTCCACCATTTGTAGTCTAAGAAACAGTTTCAAACAGCTCTTGTTTGACAAAGCAATCATGTCCCCCAAAATGTCTGTCACTTCAACATTTCCAAGTCCTGCAGGAACACTTGGACAGTGTCACACCAGACAGCAACCACAACCTCATTGCAGATGTTGACTCTTTATTGACTTGTGACTTCTAGTCAGGGACCTTATTCTCAATCTGCTGGTCATTATTTCCAACATAGTGCGTATTGGTTGTTTCATCACATACATGCTGTTGTAGAGATGCCACAAATACATATTCACATATAGTAAAAAAAAAAAAAAAGAATGGATTAAACTTACCACTGTATCACATGCTACATCTACATTGTTGTTCAGTATTAATCATTTAAAGTGTCTACAAGGCAGAGGCTCCAATTGTATTAAATGTCTATCAGACCTGATCATCCATCAACCAGAGGTGAGGACAGATAAATCTGGGAGGTAGACAGGGCTCAATCAACCCCAGTTGTTGGTAAGCTGGTGTGCTTGAGCACCAGTAAATGAGAAACTGTGCTTGGAGAGAAGCAGGGATTTTAAAGAGCCGCACATGATAAAATATTTAAATGTGCAGTCACATGTCGGCCATTTAAAGGCATGAAATGGTTACTTTAATGGAAAAAAAAAATCCAAAAAATGTAACTTTAATACACAAGAGAAAGGTTTTTTGAGGTTTAATCAATGACTGTAGAGGTTTTTAAGGCTGTGTGCGAAATAAGTTCAGAAGAATTTAAGACACAACACAACAAAGCACAATTGTGACATTTTTAATTCATGAGCATTAACAAAAACATATTTGTCCTTACAACACATAAACCGCTTGAACAGTGCGTCGGGTCCCAGGAGGCATTTCCTAAGTTAATGCCAAGCTCTGGTGCGTTCCACAGATCAAAAGGAATATGACAGGTTGTATTGTGTTTTCAGTGACAGGGCTTTATTATTAGGGTGTGGTGACAACACTCACTGCTCACATCACAGTGTGCAGGAACCACCCAAACACAAGATGTGAACATCATCCTGATATTCGAGAACCTAATTTGGAGTGTAAATACAACTCTCTTTCTGCATGACTTGTGTGAACATAACTTTGTAAATGGTGAATGAACTGTCACAGAGGGAAGCTGAATAAGACTGACAGATTTATTTTTATCTACAGAGAAGTGTTAACAGTATAATCACCTGTTCGTGTTTAAGACATGTTTTGTCAAAATGCCTTCCAGGACCTGTTCTGCCACAGCAAGGACGACTTCTTGATCAACTACAACCTACTCTAGGGCCCTGTGAAAACAATTTCCCCCCTTTTTTAAGTTGTTAGTCCAAAATCTGATGTTTACAAAATGCTAAAGTGTGTTTTCCTACAAATTATCTAATTTTGAATTAATGTTTTCTACTTGCGTGTCTTGGTGTTCTTTAAGGTTAAACTTTCTACCCAGCACCCTGGCAGTTGTATCTTAAAAGGGAAACTATGTTCTATAATCTGTGACAGCAAAAAAACAAACAAAAGATTACCGGCTCATTTGTAAGTGCGACTAATATTTAAACATTTCATTGTTGAACGCCACAGTATTTCTGCAATTTAGAAAATGAGCAAATATAAGACCTTAATTCTGAGACACACTTGCATTCACACTGAGCATATAAGCAGAGTTCTATGTTTGAGTTGGCTGACAATCATCTGGTGCAATATGTTCAGCAAAAAATTCAGTAATATCCAAATCCAAAGTTATCCTGTGCAGATTTTGTGACTCCAACTATGTTTTCAGTACTGCAGAAATCAAAGGGCCCGACTGTCACCGTCCATCCTCACAAACTATGACACTAGAACACCAGCTCCGCTTTTGGATCCGCCTCCTTCGCTGTCCCTGGTGGCCGACTGGCCCTGCGCCTCTGATTCACCCTCTCCTACCAAGCGGATGTTGTAGCGTTCCCGGTACTCTGTGAGTTCCCGTCCTTTCGTCTGCATCTGTGTGTTGATGGACTCTATTATTTTGGAGATCTGGGAAGACAGCAAAAGGAAGTTAGATTAAATTTTAGATATGTGTCTCAATTTATGTCCTGACTGAAGCCTCAATTTTTCTATTTTACACATTTTAAGAAAGCACTTGTTCTCAGCAAACCACAGCACTTTGTATTTATTATGTCGTGTCCCGGTTTGGAAGTGTGTTTTTCTTAAATAATACCAGCTTAATAGTTTTTCTTTTCTCCTCCATCACCTGTTCTTTGTTGGTTTCCAATGCCGGTAGAACTTCTTTTACCGTCCTCTCCACTAACACACCACCTACGAGACGATAGCATTTCCTCGAAGGATCCACTTCCTTCAGTGTGTCAATTACTAAGCTGAATGGGCAAAAAAGAGCAACGTTAAAAATGAAAAAATAGTCATTTTCAAAATACTTCTCAAAGATTCTGCATTAAATACCAAGAGGTAAAAAGAGCTTCAGGACGAAGGTTACTAATTTTAATTCCAACTATTTATTCCAGCAATGTCAAAAACTTGCTAACAATTTGCCTTTGTGGCCTTCATCAGAACATCCAATCAGCTTGTCTGCTAAATTTAACAAAATTTGAATTAACGGCAGAGCTACATATGTCAAGTTAGTGTAGATTAATGCAGACGCAGCAAAATCAGATAAAAAGTAAGAGGGCTGGGTCAGCAGAACGAGAAGTATGCAGAGTTGATCAAAAAGGCTTTAGAGGTGAGAATATCAGCCGCCAACCTGTGCTCGTTGATGTCCATCTCCAACTCTGCAGCTTTGGAAGCCATACTGCGCTGTTCCTGTCGCATCCTCTGAAATGTTGACACCACCTGTAACACAAAAACACTCAGTTTGCAACGATAGATAAACACAGACTTGTGTCATATGACACTTGCTATTAGTTTTACTCTGTGATGCATTACTGAAAACTGAAAGGAACAACTGATGTGGAAAATGACAGTGACATGTTAGCCTGGGCAGCCAAACTGTATAACAACTTTCAGTAAACCATATTGGAAACTTAAATAATGTCTGACTGCAGCCGCTTGTCAGTACATTAAGATTACAACAGATCTGTATTTCTACACAAGAACCATTCCGATTGCAGGACTTTTGTGACAGATAACAGCACAGTGAATCTATTTTAACTTAGGAAGAAAACTAAAAGAATAGTCAACGACTTTTTAGTGTTTCCACGTTTGTGAAGTGGGGCTGGGTGGTTCTTGGTGTTAAAAATAGCTTCTCTGACTGTCAGGCAGCTAATTTAAGTGGGCAGACCCATATACCAAAGCACACCACTCCTTTGCAGAAGTGTGCACATTTATATGCGACTAAACGTCATTAAACTATTTGTCAGGAGTACAGACCTGCCACCTGCTCTTTATTAAAGATCATAATATTTCAGGTTTCAATTTGGCTGAGTGTGCTGTTCCGTTTTGTGGTGAGAAAGCAGAACGATGGCCGGGTGATGGCGATGGGGAAGCTAACGTTAGCTTCGTCTAGCTGGGAGTCCGACTGGCGGCTTTAGCTTCACCTCACACGGCCGAACAACAACAAGAACGAGTGTACCGACCAAAGCGGGCCGAGGTGGAGGTGCAGGTACCTGTTCAGCCGACGGGCCGGACTGTTTTCCGCCGGCGCTGTTGCTGGATTTACTACCCGTGCTGCTACTGTTGGCTGCCATCTTGGAAGGGTGTTGCTGAGAAGGACCCCGGGCGAGACGTATAGAGCTGGTTCATGTAATTGCCTGTCTGTAAATGTGGTCCGGCGCAGAAAAATAAAGTTGTTTCTCTCTTCTTTTCTTTTTAAAGATTATAAAGATACATTTTGTTGATAAGTATGATTGCCTTTTATTTATTTAATTTTATTTACGTAAAGGGTTAGTGCTAGAAAGACTATAACTTACTTAGAGTTGCTGTCAAAATAAGCCTGATATATATATAATATCATAAGGAACCAAACCCAAACAAATTCTATTTTCAAAACAATTTAACATAAAAAACAGGCATATTAAACATGGGTGTGATCTTAATATTGCACCCCAGTTAGCTAGAAAATGTCTTATCATTCCTCATAAGACTTAGATATATAATTTTCCTTTTTGAAAAGAAAATTATCTTATTTTTCCATTTTGTTTTTGTCACCCACTTTGTCTAATTTCTTCTCTACAAATTCTAAAAGCACAAAATCAGTAGTTTGATTCGCAACTTTAGTAGCAATTTAATTTCCCTTTAACTCCTGATTGTCATGGCATCCAAAAAACTATCTAGTTGGCATCCCAAATATGAATAAACAGCATAAAATCTCTCAGAGCAGATCAGGGATGTTTAGCACAAAGACACAAGTCTAAATAATGATGTTATCATTCATGACTGCCACAAATTCAGATTTTCACCACATGACTATTATGGCCCAAAAAATATATTGATATTATCGCAATATTTCTAGAATTGTTTTGGGGGAAATTATTTTCAAAATAATCTTTAACTTTGTTTATTGTATATTTGATCCTATTTAAAATTGTAAATAGGCTTTTTTTAATATAAGATTTTGACAAGATGGAAAAATATTAAAAATATAATTATAGGAAGGTAAAGAGAAAGTCTGAAACCATAACTGTATTCTATGACAACGTTGGAGAGTCAACCAAATAGTTACTGGCACTGGATTATATCAACAGTATTATCATATGTGCTATTAATTGACCAAAAGTATTTATATGTTGATTTTTTTCCATCTTGTCAAAATCTTATATTTAAAAAAAAGCTATTTACAATTTTAAAAACACAAAAACTCAGTTTAGTTTTATAAAATGACATACAGTGGTACACCTGAGCCCTTCCATTCTCTTATTAAACCTTTAAAAAACTTAATATTGTACAGTAAAATCATCCAAAGTGATTGTTTTGATGTTTTTATTTTACACAGCTCCCTCTCATTCATTTTCCATTTGATTCGATATATTGTTTTCATAATTGTTCCTTGTTAATGGCGCTAATATGAATACTGTCCAGTAGGGGGAGCTCGTGTGCCTCATCCTGGTTTCTACAAACTGATCCACCGCAAAAGAAGAAGAATAAAGCCTGTGTTCCTGTTGTGAAGGACTGAGCTGAACACTGAACCAAACGTTAATGTGATACTAACATGGACTGAACAGGGGAGGTGACTCTGTCTGGGACCAATGATCAGCATCAGGTGCATTTTGGGATCATCTGCAAAGCATCTGGCTTCTCTTCCAGCATTAGGACACAAGATCCAGCTGCAGATCAGGTATGTTTAGGATTGTAACAGGAGTGTTGTTTTACAGATAATAGCTGGTTGCGCCAATGAATTTATTCTAGAAACCAAAAGTGTATTGTGTTATTTAAAAGATCTTGTAGGGTTAACATGATGTCTGCAAACAAAATCCTTTCCATGTCACCATCAACACTTAGTAGTGACATTAAATAGAATACTGACAGATTTGTAGTCTTAACTTCGATGAGTTAAATGTCTGCGTATCTCAGAAAAATCTCCATGAGTGAAAACTTGTACAGTGTTATCCAACAAGCATACAAGAGACTAACTAGTGCAGTTAATGATCGACTAGAGTTGACCTGATGTGCTTCCTTGTCCTGCAGCTTCTGTGAACTGCATTTAACAACAATCCCTTTCCCCTCTCCTCACAGGATGTCCAGCTCATCTCACCCGCTGGCTGCAGTCTGTCAGCTGACGGCTACTCCGGACAAAGAGGCCAACTTCTCAGTTTGTAAACAGCTGGTGGAAGAAGCCAAGGAGCGAGGGGCCAGCATGGTCTTCCTGCCTGAGGGCTTTGACTACATTGGATCCAGTAGAGAGGAGACGCTGTCGCTGTCAGAGAGCCTGGCAGGAGACATGATGTCAAGATACACTCAGCTGGCCAGGTAGACAAACAGTCCCGTCTCTGTTCTAAGGGAATGTTTTTGACTTGTTGTAAAAGTTAACATGATGCCCAACAGCACTAGTGAGAAGATGAAGGTTAGAGAAGGTACATTTTATATTTAGTTCATATAGTTTATTGTAATGTGTATTTGAGCTCAACCAACTGCCTTGTGCTAAATTAGCTTAAAAGTATGTTCAATGCAGCAGGATATTTTGCATATACTATATTTATCTTATCTTGCAGTAGGTTATTGGCAAAAGGGAAGATAAACTACTCACAATGTTTGAAGTCATTTCACAAAGATAAGAAAATACAAGATGAGATGAGCAAAAACAGCTTTTCTTAAGGCAAGATCAACCTTATTAAAGCTTGTTTAGAATTTCTAAATGCATTTGAACCTCTCTTTCTTTCAGGAAGTTGGAGGTGTGGCTGTCTCTTGGAGGATTTCACGAGCGAGGACACGACTGGGAGACCGACCGACGAATCTTCAACAGTCACATCATAATCAATGACAAAGGTACTGTCCACTGAATTAAAACGTTTCAAATCAGTTCTTCACTTGGTACATGCAAAAACTCGCATTGCTCTACACTCACACTGTCTTTATACCTACAGGAGACATCACTTCAGTCTACAGGAAGTCCCACTTGTTTGATGTGGAGCTGCCAGAAAAAGGTGTTTCCCTCAAAGAAAGTGCCTTCACCATCCCTGGACCCTCCCTCGTGCCCCCAGTCCAAACTCCGATTGGCAAGGTGTCATTTTATGAGATACTAGATCAAGTTATGCGTTACATGTAGTGTACATAAGCTGTCAAAACACCAGAGGATTGCACTTAAACAGTTCAAACAGTAGACAGTTGTATTTGCAGCCATGTTTCTGATCCACTCTGGGTACTGATAAAGTAGCTTCACTTTACGGTTTACTGAGTATGCTGTGTTTCTACTGACCCTTTTATTGTTAATACAGGTCGGCTTGGGCATCTGCTACGATCTAAGATTTCCTGAGTTATCGCTCGCTCTGCAAAGGCACGGAGCCGACATCCTGACGTACCCATCAGCCTTCACTGTCGCCACAGGAGCTGCTCACTGGGAGGTGGGATGAGTCATTGTTAGACAGCTGGATGTGAACCTACATTTCCATAAAAATGCACTTTAAATGCATTTATTTTCAGGTGTTACTCCGTGCACGGGCAATCGAGACCCAGTGCTTCGTCCTGGCGGCGGCGCAGGTCGGCCCGCACCACGAGAAGCGCTCGTCGTACGGCCACGCCCTGGCGGTGGACCCGTGGGGGGACGTGCTGGGTGACTGTGGAGGGGAGAAGCCTGGCATGGTGGTGGTGGAGGTCGACCTGGAGAAAGTCAGCAGAACCAGGAGGAACATGCCGGTCCAACAGCACCGCAGAGACACTGCTTTCTACCACAGTCTGGCTCAAACTTGACACAAATGCAGAGTTCAAACTTAGTCTCACTGAAAGACACAGGCTGTGAGGAACACAGTGTGAAACAAAACAAACAAGATGCTGTCTTGAATTAACATCCTGAAGAGGAGGAAATGAAGGAATGAAGATGGATTTACACACAGCATTCTTCAAAACAGAAATCACTTTTAGCTTGTCTGATCAACACCAGGCTGTGGGCAAAATGCCAAAAAATTATCATCAAAAGAGCAGAGACTCAAGGCTAAGATGGTGAAAACATGAGTTTACTTCCTGTCAAATTAATAATCAATAAATACTGGAAAAGTTCCAAACACGAAGCAGTTGTTCTGCTCCTGAGGAGATGCAAGTAGAACTGTAGCGTGCTGCTGGTGATGGTGGCTGAGGGGGGAAAAAAAAACCTCCTCTGTAGCTGATTTTTAAAAAATTTGAGTCATACTGTCTTCACTGCAGCAGATAATTTAATTTCCACAGCCTCTTATCGATTCATCAGTCAAGAAAATGAGCTCAGAGCTCAAGTCGTCCCTAAAGAGCCTGTAAATGATCGTACTCAAACTGATCAATAGATGGTACTATTGGGCAGGAAGAAGGGAGGAAACTGGAGGACATGACAAAGGCTTGCAGTAAAACATTTTGTTCTAGATGTATTATAATTAAAAATTAAAATGTGACTTTGAAGGGTTGTAGAAAAAATGTGCCTGTATGATTATTAAATGACATACAAATGTGTGGAAAGATTAAAGATGAACTTAGATCTAATGAAGCATCTTTTGTCTTCTTGTTCTTTTTTTAAATTTCATGTTGGTTTCATGGTTGTGTTGCTCCACCTTTCTCTAAGTACACTGAAGGTATTCTATCAGATTCAAGTCAGCTGACACACTTGGCCAGGTTCAGTTTTCACCTTTTAGTGCTGAACAGCAGACAAAGGGTTTTTTTCTTGGACGCTGTCCACAGAGGTTCATGTTACAAAACGTCCTCTGACTGTCTGAGCTGTTACAGAAAACCTGATTTCTTCTGATAACCTCTGTGTCAAGTCTGAAGCACTTGCCCATCTGTTTTTCAGAGCTAGATTGTACAAGCAGTGCACTGTTTGTGGCGCCATTTCAGGAGGACGACCAGTGGAGCTCTGATTAGAGATATTAGTGCTCAGTCTGTATCTCCTGATTACTGCTGCGACTGTGTGCTGGTCACCGATCCTCCTGTATCCCTTTCTGCCTTTGTTGAGTCTCACAATCACATTTGCCATATTTTAGTATATGTGTTTAGTATTTTAGTACATTTATACTGACAAAAAAAGTAAAAAAAATACTTTTTAACATCGGTAAATAAATGTTGTTCCAAAATGTGGCTACACCAGACTGGCTGTCATGGAACAACACTGTCCTGGAAAAGGCCCAGAGCCAGTAAGGAGTCCCACATCAGCAACATGTAGAATCAATAAGGTTGTTGCTGCTGTTGGTGGAACGTTGCCCCACGCTTCCTGAAAGGTTTGGTGAAGCTGTAGACATGTTGGGGGACAGGATCACATTGTTAGGTAGGTAACATCATGTCTGAAAGGATCTCTTACAAATTGATGGAGTGGTGGACAATCAAATGTGTGGATACGACGGCCAACGGTCCATTCTTTTGTGTTGAAAGAAAGCTGAAAGACTTTTATAGTCGCTGTTTGAGGGAGTGTCTGTTCAAACTATCTTATCATTGTTGTATCAAACCACACCTGACGAGGGGGAGGATTTACTCAGTGGTTCAGAATTTGTCACCACTTGAATGGCACAAAAAATGTTGACTATATTTAATCATTTTAAAATGTAGATAAAAAAGAAAATATAGATAAAATAGAAACTTTTTCCTCTGAGCCACATAGGAAGATTATTTGCATGCTATTTCTATTTCTTGTATTTTACTTATTACACATGATTATCCTAGTTTTTTTTGTGTTTTTTTTTAATTGATTGATTTCACAAGTTTTATCCCATTTTGTCTTTCTTTTGCACTTGCCTGTCTTATAACAAATGCACAACACCTTGGATAACTTGTTTTAAAACTCCTATATGCATACACTTGCCTTGATTTTATGACATTGTAATATGTAAAAGCTGCAACCAGTGTTATGCACACTTAATTACCAATGTGCATCTCCCTTTTTTTTTTAAACCAACTGTTTCAGCACAACACAGACAGAGCAATGATGCTTCTGGTAATTTCCAAGCAGGGACTCCATTGTCTTTTCTTGCCCCAGCAGTCTGATTGCAGTGATAGGATGAATAATTGATCAGCTGTTTGTCTTTGCAGGCTGTTTTACTATGTGGGACTGTGGGTGGGAGTCTCTGCTGCTGCTGCTGCTGCTGCTGCTGCTGGGAGGATGGTACAGGAAGTGAACGTCACTGACACAGGAATAGGACTGAAAAAAGAAAACACCATCATGATGAGGAGAATGTCAAATCGCGCCGTGTAGGAACCGAATCGCAGCTTCAACTCAGGAAAACGATGAATTGTTGTGTCCGAGCTGGAATCGAGGCATCAGGAAGGTACGTGGCTCCGTTTCGTGGTGTCGCGGGCTGCTGATGTGAAGCTTAGCCAAGTGTGGTGTGGATGGAGATTTCACCATCCGAGGCCATCCATCAGTCCCATCCTTCCCTCCTTCCTTCCATCCATCCTTCCTCCTGTCGCTATCAGAATGTTGTGAAGTCAGTTTGATTCTTGTCGCGGATGAACAGGTGCTAGCTAGTTTGCTAGCTTAGCTCCGGAAGCTAACCCGGACTCGGTGTGAATTGAAAATTCAACGGCTAGCGTGTGTGTGTGTCTGAGTGGGATTTAGTGGATCATTTTGTGGCCCTCGGCTGCAGCTGGGGGGGAAAGTGAAGCTGCTACGGTCCAGACTGCTGCGTGTTCCGGTGCCCTGTTGCAGAGCCCGTTTTCCGGACATTTGCACCGTGAAATGCAGATGTGGCGTGAACGCACCGCTAGAACCCGAGCCGCTGCTGGGATCCACTGCCATGCTGGCGGTGTCATGGTTGGTTTCCAGCGTTAGCACTGGAGAGAAAAGCATCAGTCTTGTGCATGCAGCACTTGGTGAGAAATTCAAGCTTGTGAAATTAGATTTAAAGGAAGCTTTTTCTCATTTCACACTCATGTTACAGCCCACAGCTGCGTTCATAGGACTGACTGATGGAGACACTGAGTTTTAAAAGTTTGGCTGCAGAATCCTCTCACTCCACCTGAGCTAAATAACATTTAACTCAGTCAGGTAGGGTTTTTTTTTATTTAGTCATGAATTCTGGCTCTATATTTTAAGTTTGGTTATGAATTAACTGATTTAGAGCTACTAATTTGAAATCTGATTGATAGGTTCTGTCCTTTTTCAAGTAAAAGTGCCAAAAATTCCCTGGTTGCAGCTTCTCAAAGTGAATATTTGCCTTTTCTTTGACAGGAACTTGCATTTTGTACCAACTTGGTTCCTTTAAACATTTTTAATCAGCTACCAATCAATAATGAAAGTGTTTTTTTTTATAAAACTGAAGCTTTGTTTTAAGAAAATGTAATTACACACAAATAATTAGCAGCTAGTTGTTTGTTTGTTGTTTATTCATAGTGAATGATCAGTGCCTGTTGTTGATCTACCATCATATGGCCACTGACAGTAACTACGGTTTGATTTCTTCAGATCTGAACATACATCTTGTTGGAAAAAGTCAACCTAAAAGCCTGTTGAATCCCGTCGCTGCAAACTCATTTCTGCCCCCTCAGCTTCTGATTTCTTGTTTTGTCCCCAAATATGCAGTGACATTTTATAGTGACATTACAGTTTATCACTTCTTAATGACTTGCCTATACATTTTCTCTGCATCCTAATTGGTTTTGTGACCAACTGTTCAAGCACAGTAATGCTTCTCGTGATTACATTTGGATTAATAATTTGGATTTGGTGGACAAAACGTCAAACTGTTGCATCTTGAAGTGACATCATCAAATTGCTTGTTTCCTTCAACACAGCTCAACATAGCAGCCCTACTGGTCAGCAGGTCAAACATATTGATTGTGGGAATCATGTTTAGATTGGACATATGCAGTGTGCGTTTTATTGCATTTCAAACAGCCCTGTCGCGATTTTGTTTACAAGATGTCCTTGAAATTAAAAACAGCCTTCAGTGTTAAACATAAACTCAGGTTAATAATTTCCTGCTCTTCTCATGCCCTCCTGTGTTCAGATACTCTGTTGTACATTTGTGATTTATGATTAGCAAACAGTCTGTCACAGCAGAGTCTCAATCTGTGGCTGTTTGACGTTTTCCTCCTGGCGTTTCCAGACAGGTCAGACCAAAGGCACTGCAACTCCTTATTTGATTTGCGTTCCCCGTTGGGTTAATCAGCGCTCCTGATTGTGTTACGTCTGTCTGCAGGGTTTGCCTCCTTTCCATGAAGCATGGCTTTTGAGTTTCATTCACCGACAGTCAGTCATGACATCAAGTTTGTTTGTTTCTTCGCCCTCTCATGTCACATATAACGCAGTCTGTAACAGTTGTGTTGTTGTCATAGCACGTCTGGAAGTAGAAGGTCAGATTATGCAGCCAGCCAAGATAACAAACGCTGAAAGCTGCTAAATCATTGTCTTGGCCTTCACTTCCTTGTACGTCTCAGCAGCAACAACAACAGCATCAACTCTGAAGTGAAACCTACTTTTACTGATCGATCAACAGCATAAAATGACAGAAAACTGAGACACTTAAGTGAAATTATACCATCACAATGGATATTAAAGATTTCACAAATTCACTGCCTTGCAAATGAAATAATATTCTTACACTGGCATGGGCTGCGTGGCATTAACAGCTGGGCCGGGTCAGAAACTTCCCTTGAGACAGCAGCATTTACTGACGGGTACTTTAGTTTGAACAACTGGTGATTTACATAATGTGCATGGCAGGTCTCTGTCCTTCACAGACTTGTAATATTCATGTAATATTAGTACATACAACACATACATGCATGTATACATGTAAAACTGGAGGCCACAAAGTTTCATGAGTAATATAATATTTTTAAGATTAATTCATGAATCGTGTGGTGAATGGTATTTTACAAATTTGACGAGTTTAGTTTGTGTACGTGGGCTGATCAGCTGCAAAAAAAGTAAAAAAATGTCTTTCTAGAAAAATAAAAGAGAGACAAGAAAGCTAATCTTCACATTTGTGAAGCGATAACTAGAATATGCTGCATTATTGTTTCATAATGTCACCGTTGTCAGTCAGTAGTAGAGCCTGACTGAGGCAGATTCAGATATTAATCTCAGAGATTTTCTGAAATCTGAAAACATTTTGTGTGCCAAGGCCCATTCAGCTCTTTTACAAAAAGAAAAAAGAAAAAGACTTCTATTGTTGGCTTGCAGAGAGTCTTTTATGTGCTCATTGGTTTTCATACTTCAACCAGCACCTGTATTAATCTGGTGTCAGTTCATCATAACAAAACCTGCACAGCCTTCACCCAAACACAACAAGAAATTAGGAGAAATGTTAAACTTTACGCAGTTTCAGTGTGATATTATCGTTAATAAAGAATCTCCAAATGAAAGTAATACAAATATTGGCTGGTGATTTAGTGTAAAGATACATTTTCTTTTGCGTTACAGATGACTTCAACAGTTGGTTAGACAAAATAAGTCATTTTAAGAAGCCATTCTAGCCTACTATTATAATTACAGTAGTTTTGTGTACTTATCTCTAATTTTTCCTACATTTTTTCTTATTAATTGATGTTTATTA